TATGTATTCAGCTTGTGCTTGAACTTTCTCTGCTCGTGTTCGGCTGTTGTTAATTGCTGCCTTCTTGTTCTTCCTTTCTTTGATCTTGTCCAGTGTTTCTATAGAGATCCATTCCTTATGATGGTGTTTCTTTAGGCCCAGAACCTCTTGACACGTTGAAGTTAATGCTTCCTTGATGCCTTTCCAGTTGTCCTCCATAGTAGTTTCTTCTTCCTTCAGTAGATCTTGTAAGGCTTGGAACCTGTTGTTGAGAGCTATCTTGAATTCATTGAGTTTGTCAGTATCTCGAAGGAAGGCTGTATTGAACCTTTGTAATGCTGCTTGTCCACTTGTCCAGTTTTTTTTAGCTTCAGTTTTAAATTGGCTACAACTAGGTGGTGATCTGAAGCTATGTCAGCTTCTCTCCTGGTTCTCACATCTTCCATTGTCCTTCGGAATTTTTTGTTGATGCAAATATGATCTATTTGGTTCTCTGTAGTGTGGTCCGGTGAGATCCATGTAGCCTTGTGTATACGCTTGTGTGGAAATATTGTGCCTCCTATGACCAATTTGTTGAATGCACACAGATTTGCAAATCTTTCTCCATTTTCGTTTCTCTGTCCCAGTCCATGTCGTCCCATGATATCTTCATATCCGGTGTTGTCTATTCCGACTTTGGCATTTAGATCTCCCATCAGAATGGTGAGGTTGTTCCTTGGGCACTTCTCTATGATTGGAGACACGTCTCTTAAAATAAAACTAGCACTTAACAAGAACACACTGTCCAGACTGTCATCAGTAACTGATCTAGGGGTACATTACTAACACAGTCATAATTTCTCTGAACATATCCCAACCAAAGCATCTAAAATGCGGAGATTGCTTGGCTCCATTTTTCGTCTTTTCGTTCAAAATGAATCTAAAATTATTCTTTATAAAGTCTGTGTAAGACTTATCGTTGAATATTGTTCGTTCTTATTTTCCAACCTACACCTATCCGATATACTTGGGGTGGAAGAAATATAACGAGATTTCACTCGCAAAATACTTAAGAACGACACACTTGTTGACTACAGTTCCTGATGCCGTATCTTAGAACTTGAACTCCTTTGGAAAAAAGGCTTAGGTCTAATTTGATTCTTTAATTCAAACTCCTCACAAACCTTACTTATTCCACACGTAATATAGCTCTTGCCCAAGACACATATGAATATGCTCTTCAAAACAAAGTACCTAAGGTCAAAGTTGAGAAATACAAATCAAAAACTCGGGAAAACTTCTTTCTCATTAGGTATGCATTAATATGGTACAGTCTTCCCTCTGAAATACGCATGACAGATGAATTACATGCGTTCGTAAGACTTATTGATCAAGCCCTCACTTGCAGAGATCTAGCACAAACGATCACATCTGCGACCCACAGAAACATCACAGGATCTCTACATGTATAGACCAAGTTGCCTTATTTTCCTACTTTGTAGTTGTATCAGATACGTTTTCGTTTCTAATTTTCTACTTGAAGTAGACAGGTAAATCACTGGACCTATCGATACTCAGTCGTTAAGAGACGCTCACTACTACCATAAAAAGTCGAAAGAACCACACAATCGCATGCCTACTGCCAGTGGTCTTTCACCTATGGAACCTTTTACCCATCAACCACTTAGGATAGAACAATACGACACCAACATTAAGTTAATGTGAGTTTTTTCTTGTTTGTTCTTTATCAGCCTTTTACTCTCCAGTACACTATGTTGACTTGCCATTAATATTATTTCACCACTCATTACCTTATCTATAACTCATGTATTTCTATACTTTTCCGCCTACTTTGATAAACAGATACACTACAGTATACCCTTCCTAAAGCTTATTCTCTGATTAGCAACCTATAATTTATACTATAATCAATGGAAACATTGCATCGATGACTTACCCACAGTCCATAGTTTGTAACTGCATGATAAGCTTGTAAAATGGTACTTATAGAAATAGTGTTTTCCAACAAGATGTGAAACACAGAGCATTGTGTGAAGTATGATATATATCCAAAAACTAAGCTTAAATGAACCTAACGTCACAAAAGGTCGGAAGGTGGAGTTACTGACCAGCAAGCATCGATGGTGAAGGCGACGACTTCAATCCACCCATGTCTGTGGGGCAGAACATTTTGTTTGTATCAGGCTCTTGATGTTTGAGAACAAGCCAATCAATCTGTGATATTGAGGGCAAGACTTTAATTTGTGGATGAGCCAATCAGAAGCGTTTGAGAGATTTCAAGGTCAAGGCGCTAAACTTCAGTGCCTAATGTTAACGTACGTTGGGTTCACAGGGAATTTTAAACAAAACTCGATAATTGAGCGGCTATAGCAAATAAAACGGCGAGACTATAATTTGTGAACGAGTCAATCATGTATAAGATAACAGATCTCAGCTTTTGGCGCGAAAGCCTTTCGTCCATAGATTTGTAGAATCATGGTCTACTATGATATTAGTACTGCGTTAATAATAAACCTAATCCCTAAATTGTAGATTTGTCATGATATAACTGCCTAATCTATAAGATCCTACGTGGAAGTCACACCATCGACTACACCAACTCACTGTATCGTATCAATTACCAATACATGATGTAGAACAAGGTTAGGCTAGAGAAGGAACAATATATTTAATATGAATAGAAGATACAAGGTAGCATTCAGCAAGAACCACGCCTGCATGGCCGAGCCATGCCATTCGGTCAACTCCAGTCCATTCAATTCATTGTTCGCGCCTTTTCCATCGTTAGGTATTTCTCCGTGTTAAATATTGAATATATATTTTCCGAGTAATCTCGTATTCAGCTTTGAGGATTGTGTGGTTATGGTCCAATGCCACTACAGATTTCTGGCACTATAGCTGATGTTAGTTCGTGATGAAAAACCTTTATATAATTTCTAACTAGTGCAAATTATGACAATTATTTCGAATCGGGTAATGAAAGCCTAAGTAACACTGGCTGCAGCAAGCGTACAGACCCCTACATAGGCTTGGTTATATGCATCGTGTCGTTGTCCACAAGTGGCATTTTCGCACTCAACAACCGGAGTGCACACAAACAATATAGAAGCTATGTGGTGGAGGCTGAAACAGTTTTTGAGACTTTATCATGGTTCCAGTGGCTGACTATTCTGTAGTCATACGGGACGATTTCCTCTACTACATGCATTACGATTTTAGGACCTCTAAACCCCTTTCTAATTTTGGCAAGTTTTTTAACCACGTACAAGAAGTGTACCCACTTTATTTCTTTGGTTTCCTATAGTATATTTTTTCCTCTACATTGACTGTTTGCAACTGGCTAGTACTTATCAGGGCCACTTGAGATCCGTCCAAAGGTCATCCATAAATTATAGCCTCGCCAGACAACCTATAAAATGCTAATTCGGACTTTTACATTAAGAATATGTGTCAGGCATCGGATGAAAAAAAATCAGAAAAAAATTTATTATACCTCTGTCCGTCTGACTACAAAATGCTAAGAATTGTTTGTCGTTCATATTCAAGTGCCTTGCTGCTCCTCGGTTCCCTTTTTTTCGGAATCTTGCTCTGAGGAACTTCTGACATCTGGCACAGACTAAATTTACGTGTCTTCCCAAGGCCATAGTTCACAACAAGCGCTCTACATATTTACTTTAGAACAACTATAAACTTAAAAAGTTGCATTGCATAAGTACTTCGCACGACCAAAATCCTAATACAATTATGCTGAGATTGGATCTGGTATGTAAGGTGGGCGCAATGCCACTTTGTAGGATATTTTGAAGACAACTGATTATATCTGAAGGAATGAACTGATATTCACTTTTATAGAGTATATCCAATTGACATGCATACTGTGAAATAATAAATGTTGTAATTCATGGATCATGCCTGTAAAAATAGCATGTACCTGCCCTTACAGAAATATATATTATTATATCTTCGAACCTCTTCGTTTCTGACTTTTGACTTGACTCGTTTGGCACATTTCAATAATAAAATATGGTACTGGTTAATACTTGTGTCATCTTTATTGTGTTAAACATGTCAGTGTCCAAGACACAGTCGTAACAATAAGAGGAGCAGCTTATAGTGAGCTGAGCATTAGTGACAACATTCGAGAAGCGTTAGGTTTTCTAACTCTGTTTTTTCTTTATACGTAAAGAGAGTTTAGGATGAAAACGTGTATCGATGAACGATGGTTAGCACTGGAATTCAGGAAAGGAAGCGTGGTTCGTCCTATTTGGGGCTCGCCAGCTGGATGTACCTTCATCTCAGAGTTGATGCTCACTCAGGACTCGAAACCAGTAACGTTCGCTTCGAACGCTATTGCGTTATCCACTTGGCAACTAGGTCCTAGAGGCCACTCACTGATGTTTAGGACTGTAATTGATCAGTCTCTTATTGGCACGTGTGTATACTGTGCTTATTGCCTCGAGGTTGCCCTAATTTACAAGCATTATAAGCAAAGAGGGATAGTGGCTAGCACTGGAACCTAGAACGCGCGTTTCGTCCTGAGGTAGTCCGCACCGGACGCACATATGCCAACAAGAGGCTGATAAATTACAGTCTTAAAGAACAATGGGAAGATACAAGCAAACAACACCAAGTGAATTTGAAAACGTGTATGGCTATCCCTATTATCTATTCACTTTTGTCCATAAGTTAAATCAAGGCCTGAATAGATTATAATTTTGAGTTAAAGCGTGTCTTGTACATTGATACAGAGGCTAAAGTTTCGTAAAACGATTAGGATAAGAAAAACTGGCCTTTGAAGCGTCCGAGGAACGAAACTTTTGCTTTTCTCATTTAAATGACTATTCTCACATCTAATAATGCCATCAAAAAAGTAAAACCAGGAAGCTCATTACATTTTTCCTTTTCTCTTATGGGTAAAAGTTACCAATTTTAAATATATATTTATCCGGTTGTTTTACAGGTTTAAGTTACTTGTACTTAAACGTTCAGCCGCCAATAAATTTTCCTAATTTGCGTGGTTTATGGCTGTCACTCGGATAGCGATCGTTCTTGGGGAATTATTAGATGAAGGGCAAAAATCATCCTTGGTAAAGGATGTGATTCAAGGTATGTGCAATTCAAACACACTTAAATTTGTCAAATAGTAGATCTGTGACTATTTAGCAGGTGTGTACCCACTATATATAGTGGGTACAACTATAGTTGTCGCTACCATTGTGTAGCTACATTTTCGTCTGATAGATAAACTGTCTTAGAGATATTGCGTAGAGCAAATGTTTGGTATTGAAAGGTTTTTGGTGAAAGTTTTGAATTTTACCTCCAGCCATATGTTTTACACAAATAATGCCAAACGGTTGATTTCTTTCACCACACACATTATTCAATAACAAATATTTAAAAGCCAAGCGACTTGGTAAGATGTTTGCAGTCGAAATCATCGTGTTGACTGAAATTCTCAGACTGTGTAGATGTCACATTTTCTTTTGTAGTGATGGGAATCGTCAGTTGACTATGTTAACCCTTGTAGCGAATCTCATAGATCCACATGGTGGCCGAGATAAACTTCTAAATATAAACGAATAGTTTTTCAAATTCTGGACAGTGCCTTGAATCGATTGCATTAATAGCGGCTTGTTTGATTGTCTTTCATCTGGTAATATCAAGAATATTCAATCTTTCAGGTTTCCATGTAGGGGATTTTACTGCAGTCGTATAAGAAATAACGCGTTTCAGCGTTATCATTTTAACAGTAATGAGTTGTTAGTATCATTGCTTTAGAGGTCTCATTCACAGTGGTTAAGAGGTAAGTCCTCTTATAGATACATGAGGTTTGTGTTTACCGCCGACGCATCAACCCATGTGCGTATTTTCGGTCTTTTGGCAGACTATGAATAATTCTTATACTTATTTTGTTACCATTCTCATCCGTTCTAGTTCATTTCAAGATAATTTTGGATTTCTTTGTGCTTGAAGTTAAAATAGTCCACTGTTGCTATAGGTTATTCGTTCGCCCACTCATTAATGGTCATTTCTTTGGTAGCACTTAGGGCTGAAATGTAAACTTATTGAATCGTGACTGTCCTAAAAGTCAAGTTTATTTTTGGTTCGTACCAAGAAATTTGATCTGCATGATAAAATATAGTATAGCACATTTCCAGTATTATTTCATTTTCTCGAAGGTTTAATTAGATTCAAAAAATTTCCCTTCAGGTTTGAGTACATGTCCACCAGATTTTCTGCTAAAGATCCAATCTCATCTGGATAAACTGACAAGCAATCAACAGTGTTCATCTGAGTGTGAGTTAACCTACTTTTACATTTCTGGTTTACCTACATTTCAATCTTTAAACCGTGAAAGCATAAAATGATAAACTATTTGTGGCTATTATCTTACTGTTAATGCAGAAATAATTTTATGCCTCTTGCTCAGTCTAGTTACTTTTAGAGCGGTAGTATGAAATGAGAATGATATTAGCTACAAATAATGTTCGACTAAGCATATACTTATTTAATACTCTTCTGTGTTTAGCAATTGATCAGGCCTACGCTGTACATGCAGAATAACTCACTTAAAATGCAATGCTCAAACTCTGCTCTCAGTGAATTTACAGAGTTTTTACGTTTTTGAGAGAATATCGATTGATCTCACCCGAGTAATAGTTCTGATTTTGAATATTTCTCTTTTTTTGGTCCCATTTCTACGATTTCAGTTTTATGAAAAATTAAAAATCGTTGTATAGTCATCCGATTCTAAAACCGATGATGGGGAACTGAGTAGGTTCTATAATGTATTTGGTCCCACGTCGCATTTTTCCCATAGTGTGATGTATGTAGTTCCAATTTCATAATATCTACGTCTTTGCATTTCACTTTGATAACTAAGCTTTGTCTTTGAAAATTAGTGAATGGTAAACTACTGGTGTTCAATGGCAGATATATTGAGATTGGATAACAATAAGACTAACACTTCGTTATTTGTTCTCCAGGTTTTATGTGGAACCTCCTATGATGTAGAAGAATTACTGAATTATAGAAATTGAACTTTGTAGTTCCAGTTCATGTAGAACTGGTTTTTTAATATCGTCAATATTGATTGTTAGATGAGCTTTCCAAATTCAACTTTCCTATAATCCAACGACCAGGATTCTGTCCATTCATTTAACAATCTCCAAACATCTTTCATCGTAAATCATACAATGTTCCTTCGTGGTGAACGTCCGGTCGTAACAGTGAATCGGCTGTTCGGCTTTGAAACTAACAGTCATTTGCCTTAGCTACAACAATATTTTTCACGCATTTCAAATACTTTTTTACCATCCTAGTTTCAATTTGTGTTTATTACCTCAAAATGTTCATTCTTTTAATCTAGCTTTGTCCCATTATTTATCACGAGTTCGTATTTTATCTATCGCATACTATTTGTCCTGGAAACTGCTCAGATATGCTCATATTCGGTTTAAGTTTTGTCTAAGACTGGTATATAGTGACTCCGAGATCACCTTGTATGTCCAGTTGTCAGTTTATTTAGCTTGTATGCGTGTACTGAATTTTGCTGATTAAAACTTTTTCTAGTTACTCCTGCAGTTCCTAAAGAATGGAATCCATTGTCGTTCGGTTATTTCACCATTCTCAGTTTTACATTAGAGAGACTAAAATTGTTTAAAATATTTAACGTAAATTGTGTATTGTCTGTTCATCATTAGGTATTTTCTCTTACAAAGAGGAAGATTTTGAATTCCTAACATTATGTCGCCCATCTTCATCTGGAATTACGTCGTTATTAACAAATTTTCTTCAACCACCAAAAAATTCTGATGTCACTCTTAATGTTATTCTTATATACGCTGGTTTATTATCGGAGGGATCAGCTCATTGGTTGTTACCCAACTTTGTGTTAACACCCACATTCTTGACTGATTTTATTCAACATTTGTCTACTCTACATCCTAAACCAGTAAGTAACTATTGACTGTCAATTCACTTATCATGTTACACTAAATGAATATTTTTCCTCTAGAATTTTTCTGTGTAATTTTTTCGTTTATTTATGTGAACACATAAATATTGGTACAAGAGAGCGCCAATACACATGCGCCACACAAAACAATGAGAATTTGAAGAGAAAGAAAAAAAGATAAGGAGCGTGAAAAAAGAACAATAACGAAGAGGTTGGTGTAAGGTAGTGTAGTAATAATAATAGCAATAATGAGGGAACGGAAATGTACAATCAGAAGAAATCTTTCAGTTAAGGGAGACAACCACTTTTTATGAAGAAAGTAACAAGTTTACAGCAGGATCGCCACTGGCTTCTATTCTGAGCCATATCTGATAACGTCTCTAACCACTGTGTAGCACCATCTCTCGGACCCCAACCAGGGAGTCGTGAAGGACCGACAGAAGCCAGTCCTTTGCAGCTTTCTTTCATACCACGACACCATGTCATGCACTGACCACCTCTCCGCTTCTTCCAACCAGTCCCAGAGTCGGCAAATAATGCAGGACGTGGAATTCTCTGGGACGACATTCGGAGAACATGTCCAAGCCACCGAAGTTGGTGTTTCAAGATGGTGACATCGATTGCATTATCATCTCTGTGCCCGAATACACGATGCCGAACCTCTGCATTACTACTGACATGGTGTTGCCACTGGATGTCAGCAATCCTTTGGAGACAGCGATGATCGAAGACAGAGAGTCTTCTAACGTCCTCAACTCGGAGAGGCCAGGTTTCACAAGCATAGAGCAAGACTGCTCTCACCGACGCGTTGTAGATCCAACCTTTTACAGCCAGACTAACATCACGAAGGCTCCAAAGATGACCCAGATTGGCATAAGCCTCTTTGGCTTTCACCATATGTGAATTGATCCGACTACACACGTCATGACATCTCCAAACCCTAATCTTCCCGATTACTGCTTATACTCTTATTACCTCTACCACTACGGGATTTGAATCGACAACTGCATCTCTGTGCTAATGTGGTGTGGCAACTCGAACTGATGTACGTACGTACGAAGTTCTACGTTTTTACTGACTGACTGACACACGTCATTACTGGCACTTATGCAGCTACCCGGATATACGAACCTCTCGACTACTTCTATGTGCTCATTACCCAGGGTGAATACAGGATCAGGGTCCTGCCAGTCTTGTAGAAGTACTTTGCACTTCGAAGGTGCAAAGCACATACCATACCTACGGACACTGATTGCCAACTGATTAAGTGTGGATTGCATGGCATTTGTTATTGTCATTTGTTATTGCATATTCAGATATAGTAAAGCGTAACTGTGTAGATAATATCTTCATTTTTGCTTAATAAGGAAATAAATAATTGACTTCATAGCTATATAATGATACTGTGCAAGCTAGTTGAACAGAACAGTTAGAAAATGATTATTTAAATGTTACTAAATATTTGCTAACAGGTTATATGCGGGCTTCTTGATGTGAAGTGTATGGCAATGATGTATGCTATGCACTCCTTGTTACTGTCTATCCTAACATTAGTGAACGTAGGCTTAAATCAAGATAACAAGTGATCAAATCAAGAGGTATTATTAGCTAATAAGGTCATTAACTTCCGGTTTGTATCTTATTGGGAGGGTTAGGATTTATACCTGGTCTCCTCTAAATAATGCAGACCGCTGGTAATAGCTATTAGTTGTAATTCAGAATGATGCGGATGCACTAACTGTTCATTTCTGAATCTTTAGCGCATTAATGTCAACTAGTTTTTTAATTTTGTTATCGTCCTACTCTTATTGTTTTTTCTCTGTGCTTTTGCGATATGGCAGTTTAGATTCATACACTTCTGTTCCAAAATCTAAACTAGTGTATCTGTCTGTTCAGTATTGAGGGTTTGAACTGTACAAGAGACACTGGTTTCCTTGGATTGGATCATAAGGAGCTCATGAGTACCATCCCACCCCTCCTTGTGAGAAGGCAGCATCTCTGTCATGCTGGTTGTCTGAAGGAAACACCTTACTGCTCTCACACCTCTGTACAGTCAGCAGTACGACTTCGCCTTCGGACCTTGGGTTTGTTGCTTTTAGTCTTACCGCTCTTCAACCGACCTGTCTGACATGGTAGGACCTTAAGGAACGGTTGTTCCAGCCAGTATAGCTCGGTCGCTTCATCACGATAGGCAAGCCCGACCACCACGTCAAGGTAGCAACAACGGTCGGGCATGAGTACCAATAAGGTTTTAGGCTTTTATGTTATTGCTTACATAATTATAGTTTATATTGCACTAAGATTTCGTATCATTTAGTCTAGTTGTTACACTATTGGTCCCAGTTTATAAGACTGAATTCACATTGACTTTATATATGGCACTACAACCTAGGAAACACTATGGTCACCTTTCAGTCAAGAAGTAGTTATACTTTGAACCATACTTCTTGCTATATACACCATAAAAATACTACATCTGACCATCCGTCTTTTTAGAGGAGGCTAGGAAGCTTTTGTCCATACTCACTTCTTTACACCTGATATATAGTAAGGACACAAGTGACGGATTAAATATTCAAGACTTGCGGAATATAAAGCTAGTGAGGAAGTGTCGGTAATAGTTATATGTGAAAACCGGTGAAGAAAGTAGTTTAGTAAATAGAATAAACTCGGGCGGTACTAAAAACATGTTGGGCATTACGACTCCCTGACTGTCACCATGTGTGAGAATATTTATTCTGAGAGACAGTAAGGAAACTAAATTAGTATTTGTGTTTCACCCGGACCAGGGAGCATAAACACGAAGCTCAAAAGGTAACTACTTCATACTGCCTACTTTCTAATAAGTAATTGTTTCCTGTCTTGTAGTACTAGCCTAGTCTTTTTTTGTGTCTTGTAGCATATTACCAGTATTAATGAATATACTAAATATCTGTAGCAATCTCCTTACTGTATTTACGATTTCATCCTGAGATTCTAAACTTTCTAATTCTGATCTTGTTGCTTCTCATCTGTTTGGACCTTTAGTAACAAGTGCATCAACTCATACTATTCAACTAGGCTGTCATTATGTAAAGCCATCATCACGTTCTCACGTCCGAGTGGTAACTACAATCTGAACTGATAATTAGCATTCACTGATAATATTAGGGAAATCCCATCCTAGTTGATTCGAATATTTTTTCAACAAAGTTTAACAAGTCATGGGTACTACTAAAAAATTCCATGTGTAACACGATTTCCCTTAAATGCCTGTTTTTTGCAGCTTTTCAATCAATACAATTTTCAAATTATTCGAGTCTTCAGAGTCACCGTTTAGTAAGGTTTCTTTATTTAATTCAATTCGTTCAATGTGTCATGTCTGAAATAACGAGCAATGTTAATCTATTTAGGACTGTATTGATTACTTATGGTGTCAGTTCTTTCATCTTTCTGTTTTTATGTTTCAGGATGATACGGAAAGTCTCCCATCTCACAAACCTATTCGGCTTCACATTGGTATCGGGGCCGTTTCATCGGGTGGAGACTGGCGTCACCTTGTTAGCAACCCACCACAGTCTATTGGAGGGCATGTATTCCAAGTTACAGTTAACCGTTGTCGTACAGTGGCCAAACCAAAGACTAACAAGCCTACAGACCCTTCTTCGCCATCTTCTAGCTCATTTGGTTAGTATGTATTTCATGTTTTCCTGTTAAACTAACACTGGCAACGCATCTTAGATTCACCATTTCCCCTAGTTTACCTTCATGTTTTTAAAGCTTATAACTCCGTATTAGATAATAACAGTTGTTTCAGCCTAACTATTTTCGTTACTTTTTCTCAAATTCATTTTAGTCAGAGATTATTTATGACTCACATAAAATGGTACATCTGCTTTGATTAGGTATATATCTCTTGACTAAATCTATGAAATTGTATTAGATAAGTCTGTTGTGTTTGCCGGTCGTCCATTTCTTATAGTTGATATGCATGCTTTCTATATATGGACCCAATTTTATTTGGTGTAGAAGACAAACGATAAGCAGGAAGCTGTATTGACTAAACGAATCGAAATGTGCACAAGCCAATATATATATATATATATATATATATATATATATATATATATATATCCCTCGAATAATAAAGCCAAATCTCTACCAATAGAGTTTATTCTTCTTATTATTATTATTTGAACACATGAATATTGGTACAAGAGAGCGCCAATATATATGCGCCACACAAAACAATGAGAATTCGAAGAGAAGTAGAGAAAAAAAAACTAAGGAGCGCAAAAGAAAAAGAGAACAATGACGAAGAGATTGGAGTAAGGTAGTGTGGTAGTAACGACGGAACGAAAAGGTACAATCAGAAGAAATCTTTCAGGTAAAGGAGACACAACCACTTTTTATGAAGAAAGTAAAAGAAGGTTACAGCAGGATCGCCACTGGCTTCTATTCTGAGCCATATCTGATAACGTCTCTAGCCACTGTGTAGCACCATCTCTCGGACCCCAACCAGGGAGTCGTGAAGGACCAACACAAGCCAGTCCTTTGCAGCTTTCTTTCATGCCACGACACCATGTCATGCACTGACCACCTCTCCGCTTCTTCCAACCAGTCCCAGAGTCGGCAAATAATGCACGACGTGGAATTCTCTGGGACGACATTCGGAGAACATGTCCAAGCCACCGAAGTCGGTGTTTCAAGATGGTGACACCAATTGAATTATCATCTCTGTGCCCGAACACACGATGCCGAACCTCTGCATTACTGACATGGTGTTGCCACTGAATGTCAGCAATCCTTCGGAGACAGCGATGATCGAACACAGAGAGTCGTCTAACGTCCTCAACTCGGAGAGGCCAGGTTTCACAAGCATAGAGCAAAACTGCTCTCACCGACGCGTTGTAGATCCGACCTTTTACAGCCAGACTAACATCACGAAGGCGCCAAAGGTGGCCCAGATTGGCATAAGCCGCTCTGGCTTTCACTATTCGTGCATTGATCTCATCACTCACACCCCCACCAGCACTTATGCAGCTACCCAGATACACGAACTTCTCAACTACGTCTATCTGCTCACCATCCAGGGTGAGTACAGGATTAGAATCCTGCCAGTCTTGTAGAAGTACTTTGCACTTCGAAGGTGCAAAGCACATACCATACCTACGGACACTGATTGCCAACTGATTAAGTGCGGATTGCATGCCTTGGGCATTATCGCACAGTAAGACAATATCGTCCGCATACTCAAGGTCGAGAAGTCTTTCTCCAGGCAACAGATCCACACCACCATTACTTACATTCATCAGAGCTGTTTCCAGAATGTCATCGATGGCAAAGTTGAAGAGGAATGGTGAGATTGGGCAACCCTGCCTAACCCCACTGCTCGAATGGAACAATGGAGAGAGGTGGTTGTATGCCCTCACTCTGCCTGAGGTGTTTTTATATAGGGCTTTTAGGATGTTAATAAACTTCTCAGGCACACCCTTCTTCAATAGACAATCCCAGAGAACAGTCCTGTCCAACGAATCGAAGGCAGCCCTGATGTCAAGAAACACTACGATTGTTGGCCTTTGAAAAGTATGGCGGTGTTCTAACATTTGGCGGAGGGTGAAGATATGATCAATACATCCTCGACCAGAACGAAACCCAGCCTGCTCCTCGCGAGTCAATCTTTCTCGGGTTTTGAACAACCTACGAAGAATGACGGAAGCCAATAGCTTGGACGCAATCGGAAGTAAACTTATCCCCCGATAGTTGTTACAGGAACGACGTGAACCCTTTTTAAAGATAGGGACAACTATCGACTCATTCCATGACGTTGGTACACACTCTAGTTCCCAAACCTTTGTAAACAACGTCGTCAATTCCTTAGTCAAAAAGTCACCACCATCTTTAAAAAGAGCCGGAGGTAAGTCATCTGGGCCAGGTGATTTGTAACGCTTCAAGAGTTGGAGTTCCTTGCGGACTTCCTCCTCATTTGGTGGATCAGTCGTCACCGGCCATGGAGGGCAGGACAGTCTGACCGATGTTGCCGGAGCAGCAGGCCAGTTGAACTGCCCTTCGAAAAATTCTGCCCATCGTCCAAGACGTCGATGGATGTTAGTGATTGGCATCCCATCATCCTCGCAGATTGTTTCACTCACACCAGACTTCTTGCTGCCAGTGGCTCGGATGAGCTGGAAGAGCTTCCGGTAGTTACCAGATGCAGCTGCTGCTTCCAGCTCATTAGCACGCATCGACCACCAGGCTTCTCGGTCCTTACGCAAGCTTTGCCCAATTTCCTTACGTAACATCCTTCGTTTATGGTCAAACTCACGGTCACCCGGAGTAGACCGACGGGCTTCAATGAGTTGTAAGGAACCAGAAGAAACCCAGTGCTTAAAAGCGGGACGTTTCGCAAACCCACAACTGACTGTTCCCGCCATTTTCATGGCGTCATGCAATTGCAACCAATGCTCATCTATACTTTTCGGTGGAGTGGTAGCTAGCCTAGAGGCTAGCTCGGTTCGATACTTACTTGCAACAGAAGTTGCAACCAGCTTGCTAACATCAATCCGTTGATGGGGTCACTTCGTTGTCCACTGAAAAGTAAGGCAAGATTGGCGCAGACCAAGGCATGGTCAGAGTCCAGATAGGTACTCCAAAAGGAGCGGCAGTCTTTTACACAACCACGCCAGCGGTAGCTGATCGCGATGTGATCAATCTGAGTCCAGGCTTGAGATGCAGAGGGAGGACGCCAGGTGGCACATCGGCGATGACTGTGCCGAAAGTTAGTGCTAGCCAGAAACAGGTTGTGGTCTGTGCAAAGTTGCAGTAGACGGTCCCCGTTATCTGACCTGCGACCAACGAGTCCCCATCGGCCACCTAAACGACTCTCTTCTGTGCCTAGACGCCCGACCTGAGCATTCAAGTCTCCGGCTAGTACTACAATATCTGTCGAACGCACTTTCTGGAGAAGAACTGATAACTGGTGGTAAAACTCATCCTTGATTGCATCCGGGCTGCAATCTGTCGGGGCATAGGCGGAGATGACGAAAAGACATCGTTTCTCACGCCGATTTCTTCTCACTTTGATGGAACTTTCTAATCTAACAGCACATAACCGACTGTTAATGGGGATCCAATCGACTAGTGCTGCCTCAGCTCTAGCGCTTAGTGCGACACCAACGCCAGCAAGACCAGACGAAGATGCCACAGGGTCCCCGGATAAGCGCACGTAAAACAAGCTTTTCGAAGCGACAGATGGAGATCGAATTTGTAGTACTTCGCCAGAGTCTTGAATACGGGTCTCGGATAGACAACACACGTCGATATTAAGACTTTCCAAAGACATAGCCAGCCCTATCTGTTGTCCGACCTGCATAAATGTGCGAACGTTGAAGGCAGCCAGTTTGAATGGTGCACGTGGTTTCAGAAAATCTGCTTCAGTCCTCGTATTCGGTGGTAACATACAATTTTCAACCGGACAGTGACTCGAGAACGTTTAGATACAGTCGGATTTCCACCAAAGACGAGCCGCTGTATAAGTATAAAAGAGGGTGAATAATGTGGAAAATAATAATAATAATAATAATAATAATAATAATAATAATAATAATAATAGTATTAATAATGACAATAATTGTAATGATAATAATCTGAATCAATTGTTTGTTTTTCAAAGCGAGAAAGGTAATTTCCATAGGCATAAAGAGTTCATCATTTGTGTGTGGGCTGTGATACTGCCCGGGTGCCCAAACCGAAGCAGGTGGTTATCTTAGGGGGCCACTCCCCGAGCCTTTGACCTAAAGGTCTAACCCACAAGGCAGTGGAGCATCGTAAGGAGATGCAGTCCCATGGTAGCCGGTGACCAACGATTGGTTCATACGCCATTCGTTCCCGCAGGATACTGGAGCCCATGTGCACCATTGATTTGGAATCCGGTTAAAGCGCCGGACATTCGCTTTTCGTCCTCTCATTTTCGTAAACAACACCCCCGCCACGAGAAGGCAATGAGTAGGACTTCCCTGGCAGAGGCTGTATACGCGTGGCCGTGTGAGAGTATTTCGAGAGGGAGAGCGGACTCTCCCCACTCTCGGCCGTACCAGGGCATTCAGGGGGCAGAGAGTTTATTCTTGGACAAAACTCACCTATCATTGACCTAGCATGTGCCCATAGGCACGAGGTTTAAGTGTATCGGTCAAACCTGTTACCTCTCCTGTAGGAAACGTGTTCCTCTTATTCAGCTGTATGAATTAAGATAGGAGAACAATACCTCTCTCTGTTGAACAGTATGATGTCCTCAAAGGGTTTATTGGTTCAGGCGGACCGCATCTTTCTGTAGCTCTTCCCACTTTTAAATTGTCATATCTGAATAATAGAACTGGTTGGTAAATGTTGGATGCGTGTGTTGACGGCCTCTATAGTACTGAAAACTTATCTCAATGCATGTCTCATTCACTCTCTAATGACTAGAAATGGAGAACCCAATTAAATTTTAGGGATACAGCGTGTAATGAAGACTAAAAATGATGACCCCTTATTTGACAACAATCCCACTGAATTTTGTGGGAGAGGTGATTATGTGAGCGAAGATTTAATGGATTGAAAAGTTTGTGGCCTGCAAAATCAATTTCTTTTTCCAATTGTCTATGACAAACAATTACGCTTTAAGTAGTAGTGTCAGTTATATCTGTTGTTTATAGACATTTTATTCTATGGTACTGTTTGTATTCATTCATAAGCTATTGATTAATTAATGTTAAGTACCAATCAATTTAAGCCACACAAATCTAACTATCCAGTGTAAGTAAAACAGTGCATTCTAGGTATGGTTCTAACCTATTTTGGTACCAAATAAATCCTCATCTATAATTATGTTGTTGCTTGTGTTGTGCAATTTACGGGTTCAAATAGTCAATATCAGTTATCAGTCATTACAACAACGCTAAATGCATTTGTCAAATGTCTATAAAAATCTTCACCTGCACTAGTTTTGTCTTATTATTTAGGCAGGAAAAATCATAGCGTCGGCCATCAATAGTAATCAGTCGTTTAAAATTTCAGGGGTTTCTCAGTTCTATGTATTTCGTAGTTTCGCTATTAAGAAGAAAAATCAATTTGATAAATCATATTCTACAAGGTTGAATGCGGAATGTGTTCAGGACTTGTGTATGAATTCCAACACTTTCCACTGTCATATTTTAAGGTCACCTGAATAATATGGAGTATAACAATAAATGCATTTTTGTTGTATCCCAATGAGTAGAAAAATTGTATTTTTGACCATTTCGTGACTTAGTGTAAGCCATTTTTTTCAGAGTTACTTTCTACCCAACGCTCAATTTATTTTAAACTATCAAGTCCAACCCTTACATCGATACCTATAGATACGGGGTAGAAGTTTACTCTGATAATCATCAATTATTTGGCATACGGAGTGTCGTGCATCTACTCACTCTGTTAATGTTTGATTAATAATAACATTTCAAACATTTAAGTCATTCTTAAGTGTGGAATTAAAACGTATTCAGTAGAAAAACATAACCTCTGTTACTTATGGATCCTCAATAATCTGTCATTTTATGATTGACATTTTGGCTCATAAACTTGAGGTTTTTAGTTATTCTAACTACTAATATTTTTCACTAATAAATATTTCTTTTTACTGTTTTTTAAATTCTAATTCAGATTTTGAGAGCTTTCTATGCGATATGCTAACCAAACTGCCTGATCCTTATTGTATTCCTCTCAGTCAAACTTTGGTAATGCGCTCACCAACTGATCTTACGCTCAAAGTTTCCAAACCTTGCATTTATGTGTTCCCTGAAGGTTCTGGGCAGGTATCTATCCTCGCTCTTCCTTTTTACAATATGCTAATTGATGGAGGATGTAGTCATAAACCTTGCTTTTGGTCTGTTGCTAATTATCTTGATCGGTAAGACTTTTAATGGGAAGGGAATTACCGCTATTCATCATGATAAATTTTGGTTTCTTTTATGATTGTTGTTAATTTAAAATTGGGTGTGATTGAAATAATTAGTGCGTAGGTGTCAGTGAAGATAATCGTTGTTGTGTAAATGTTTGCTAAATACAATTAGTCTCCTAGAATTAACCACACCTTGTTTATAGAAAGGTCACTGAGTTATTTGGTATATTAATTTACAAGAATAAATCTGAATATATTGTTTTAATAGTGCCTTGATTTTTCTACTATCTTCTAAATGTACTCTTTTGTACAATGGATAGTTTCATGCTTGGACCATAGAGTGGCAATTTTAATTGGCTATGTTGCTTACTTGGTTTGCTTTTGTGTTATGCTTGAGTTCTGTTGGGACAATGAGACCCGTATATTTTCTAACTTTAAATCTAACGTTTTTTGTCGAAAATCATAAGTTCTGCCGTTCTATTTCCCCTTTTTTCTTAAGGTTTTCCGATGTTTGAAAATGATTATTTGTTAGCACGATTCCAAGGAAATTTTAAGCATATTTACGTACGATAACTGTGCACTTAATCAACTTCTTGAAGATTCCTATTCTCACTTTTTACCTGTCAATCTTAATATGTAGTATGTTGAGTTAAGTAGAGGCATATGAAGACATGATATTCCAGGTTAGCTTTCACTTTGTGATAATCCTGTATTAATCCGTTAAATTGTTGTTAACAACGTAGGTTCCGGGACAAAAAGGTATCAGTACAAGTTGCTGAAATCTACATCAACATGCAAAGTGAAAATGAAAATGATGAAGAACCGAAAGGCATAGATAGCAATATAAAGTTTAGTAACGAACTAATGGTAGAAAGTATAGGTAAAAAGACGAATTAAGTGATTGAAATGAATAAAGAATGGGATTTTACTAATTTGAAAGAAGTTGGAGATTAAATGAAACTGCCATTACGATCGATTTTGGCTTATGCAACTAGTGAGGAAAAATGGTTTAAATTTTGTTTCTGGTTAGCGTTTTTTAGTAAGGTTAGTTTTTTACGGGATGGGGTTGATAACCCCATAGCCAACTCTTCTTTATCCGGGCTTTGGACCGGCATTAACCCTAGAAGAGCAAGATCTTGAAGTACAACACGGAGAACACCAACTCAGTCGTACTTGATGGAGACGCTCTGGAAGAGGTGGAAACTTTCACGTCCCTGGTCAGCATCATCAATGAACGTGGGGGATCCGATGCAAACGTAGATGAAAGGATTGATTGGCAAAACAAGAACATTCCTTCAATTGAAGAACATATGGAACTCAACTGTCAAGCAATATCAAAGTCACAATCTTCAATACAAACATGAAGACAGTCCTACTGTACGGAACTGAAACTTGGAGAACTACTACAACGATCTTCAAACATGTACAGCCATTCATAAATAATTGTCTACTCAAGATACTCAATATCTGTTTGCCAGAAACCATCAGCAACAGCCTACTATGGGAGAGAACAAACCGACTTCGAGCTGAGGAGGGAATTAGGAAAAGACGTTAAAAATGGATAGAACATACATTTCGGAATCGCTAACTTGATATCCTGAAGAGAAACAGGGAAGTGGAAGACCAAAGAAGACTTCCCATCGGTAATTAGAGGTAGACGTCATAAGAACGAATAGCAACTGGAAAGAATTGCCCAGGACAGATTTGGATGGAGAATAGTAGTGGGCGGCCTGTTCTCCTCTACGATGGGTTTCAGGCATAATTAAGTAACTAGTGAGGAAGATTATGCCTTCCGATAGGTCTAAACTATCAGTTAAGGAAAGTCGACCAATACTATGGCTTAAACTGGTCGTCTTTAACCTTCTATGATAGCCTGGGATTTTGAGGTAATCTTTATCTGAGTATATGTAGCAAATGTTCCGCTAACCTTTGTATTATAGTTTCAGAATCCTAATCACAATTAACCTCAACATTACTCATTTGGTAGCCCTTCCACTCACAGTTTCTGCTTTGTAAGACATTTCTTTTGGATGCTGGGAACCTACGTATTTCCGATTTCATAGATCATGTAAAGTAACTCAGAGTAGAACTACTGTTTGAGGATACTTGCCCTTCAATAGAAGAAATGATATCTTACGTTACAGATAACATAATGTCAGCCAATCATTTTTAATTGTTGTGAACGTATCCAAACTGATATTTCACTAATCGCTATTCTATTAGGATAATTTATTTCTAAAAATATCAACGTTAAGTTAAAATACCGTTAATTTAATTAGATCTTTTAACCAAGAATTTACTTTTTGTTTAGTAATTCTCAATAAACAACTACTTTGTGAAGTGATCCCTCTCTCTCTTACTATGCATATCTCTTCCGATAGTTAATCGCTGAAAAATTCCCATTATATTCTTCGTTCATACATTTGTGTCTTCCGAAAGTTAATTAATTATTTCGTTATTTGTTCTTATCATCAATATGGTTATTAATCAACGATTTTCTCTTTCTAACCCAACTTCTGTCAGTAAAGCATCTATATTAATCGTTTCTTACACCGTTGTTTTATGCGTATACAGTACATATTTATGTCTATGCATGTGTATACTGTAATGAGTTTGATGTTTCAGAGTTTAGTCTGTAGATGGTTCCGAAATGTTTGTTTGTTTGTTTGTTTGTGTATGTGTGTATAATAATTTTCTTACGAGTTACTCATTCTCATATAGTTAATTTGTTATTGACTACTTAACTTGTTCAATGGTAAATGGTTTGAAAGAAGAGACATAATCAACAAACGAAACAGGTGATAAATTAATTCTGATAATAAAGAAATCGTTTCTTAGGAATTCAATTTATTTTCATTTTATTTATTTTCATTTAAAATTGAAGTAGGTGCCTCTTCTTCACAGTACCGATCATATTTTTCTGGTTTCTATCAAATTTTAATAGGTGTTCTATTCATGCAGATAAGACTTTTTCTGATGAATTTTCTAGTATATTTTAAATAAAACATTATGCAGTAATCTTGATGTATGTATGAGTTACACCCCATCCAGATATATTTGTAGAGATGGATCGTGAAGTAATTCTTTATTTTGTGACTATAGATACTGAAATAATTGACACTATCTATCACTTCAGTTGTATAATTAACTACACTAGTTCTAGCGTGTATTAGTTGATGAACATGACTTGGAATTGGTCACAGTAATGTAGAAGGATTTACTTTCAAAGTTGCTATAGGTTTTTAAATTTCTGTGTAATCAAGAGCTGCAGTTTTTAAATGTGATAAGTTTGTCAATTACAAGCGGTTGGTATTGGTAACCATAAGTTGATTTGTTATGGAACTAGTTTTTTTTTAAATAGAAAAATTAAACTGGTAATTAAAAGGTTCGATTTTTAAGTCGCACATTTAAATTTCATGTAAATAAATCTTTGTGTCAAATGGTATCATTAAGGTATAATCAGCTTCAACTATAACCTGATGTATGTCACTAAGTTGAATCAAAACAACAGCAAGCTAAACGTATTCTCTACTATTTTACAGTCTGTATTGCTCCAGTCATTTCATCTAAAAATCTTAGTACTGCTCACTGAATAATGTTACAACAAGACGTTTTGTTATTTTTGTTCCTACAGCACTCGGATTATAGCGAGTCTGTTTTAAACTCAACTAAGTTCAGATGTCATTTATTGACCTTGATATTACAAATGTTTTATATCTTCCATGAGCTTATTGTTTATCTAAAATCAGTTAAAAATTAACTATATTTAGTTTCATAGTTCTTTCATTTCAGTTTATTGATGCCAAGACTTCTGTATGATTTACAAATTCCCATTTTATTCTCTAGCCTGGATTCTGTTCTGGTAACTCATTGGGGTATTGATAACATACTTGGACTGAAAACAATTCTTCCGACAGTTTTCAAACCGAGCAATGATCAATCGTTACTGTGTCTTCTCACTCCTCCACCAAATATTAGCAACATGAAAATAAATAATCATACTCAAGATCCACTACCGTTTACGGTTAATCTACCAGTGTATTTCTCTAACTTAGTTGGAGAAATAAAACGTTCTGGTACTAATCTCATGGTCTACCCAGTTACTCGAGGAGGAAAACAGTCAGTAGTTCCAAAACCACTACAACTTTTCCAGAAAGTAAGTCATTTTATCGTACACCTCGGTGATTACACCAAACTTGAACAATCTCTAGTGTCTTCCGATTGTGATTACTGATAAACTGAATTATTCAAGTCAACTGAGAACACAATTCTAGAGTTGACAATAAAACGAGAGTCTGACTTCCAAGAACGTTTAGACATATAGACTAAATATGATCTTTTTCGACTAGATTTTACAACCATTAGATAAATTAGAACAACAGTTTCTCTCTAATTGTTTTTCTTGCCTCAGAACACAAATGAAATGTATGTTCAGTGAATACACATTTTTTTCAATTGGCTGATAATTCCTATTTAAACATTGAAAACATTTTTCTTATTTTTTTTACGTTTTCTATTCTCAATACTTTTTTTATGTAGGTAGGTCAAGGTTGTTTGGAGTTATTCCCATTGACCCCTGGAGATGATGATTCTGCCGAGTTGCGCAAGTTAAATGATGATTGGTCTAAATGTGCTCCTTCACTAATGGCAACATCTGTCCCATTAAATAAAAGTTCAGGAAACAAAACAACTGTTCCACTTGTAAGTTTTATAGGTATATTGAAAATTAAGGTTCTGGTTTATCGGAAATAGCCAAAATCGTTGAGTTATATGGTAGATAGGTATTCAGTGGTGTTACTTTCGTCTTTACTGTTACGACGGTCGGGAAAGAATTATGATTGGTTGTATTGTGATGCTTTATTATTCTTTTGTTAACTAATGAATAGATCGTAGTTAAGCGTTCTCCATATAACTAATTGTTATACTTTCCTGGTATTTATACACATAGTCAGTTGGCTAATAATGATTCTACGCCTTAAAATTTATTCATTCAGGATTTAACAGATTGATTTATTAAGCAAATTGTCATTTTGGCTAACTATACTACTGGTCTTATCGTCTATGTGCTCAAATCTTTCCCAATTCAATCACTTGTACATGCTTGCAGTTACCTTGTTTTTATTTGAGTGATTAATTTGTATCTTTTATTGGTTATTTATTTATTTAAATACTCAAACATTGGTACAAGGGGGCGCCAGAATATATATGTGTCACACAAACCATTGAATTTGTGCGTGAGCTTGGATGATGCCCATGTGCCCACACCGAAGCAGGTGGTTGTTTTAGGGGGTCGCTCCCTGAGCCTTTGATTCAGAGGTCTAATCCTCAAGACAGTGGAGTAATGTTAGGATTTACGACCCCATAGCAGCCGGTGACCAAGAATGTTTTCATATGCCATTTGTCCCCTTAGTCTCCTGGAGTCCACCTTGACCACTGGTTTGGAATCAGGGTTTTTTAGTTCCTTTAGTTAGACTCTCCATACGCTCGAACCTGGTTCAACCGCTGGACATTCGCTTTCTAACTCTCAATTTCGTATGTAACACCCCCGCGCAAGAAGGTAATGTGTAGGACTTTTCTGTCAGTGGCTGTGTATGCGTGGCCATATGAGAGCATCTCGAAAGGGAGATTGGGACTTTTCCTAACCAGATGAGGGCATTTGAGGATCTCTTTTATTGGTATATACATTCAGGATTTGGTGTGGCTCCATAATCTATGAACGTGTACAGAGTTACTTCAGTTTTAATTCTTAATCTTATTCTACTAACTAACAATTAACAGCTTGTTATCTGGTTTTTTCTAAGCTTAAATACCAAATAGTTTCATACTGTTGTTTTCATTAAACACAGACGATGTATGCAATACAATTTGTCGTCCTATAATTATAAAAATTATTTATTCATTGGAATTTAAGTTTTATGATGGCTAGTTTGTACTTTTGTCAGCTCATTTTCTATACATATAGTTAAATTTTTTTTGAACTGTTAATAATTGATACAACTGAGGTCTAGGTTTATCATCAGCGATTGCATTTCATTATTGATTTTAAGCATTTTGTCATGAAAGTACAAAATTACTTATATGTGATTTGGTGATAATTCCAAAGAATTCACTATAGGGTGTGATCCTTGAAAAGTAAACTGTAATAGACAATGAATAATGGATAAACTGCTTTTCTCGTAAATGCCTACACCCTAGTTATTTATTACAAAATAATGAAATATTCGTTCAGATGCTTGACATTTTGAACTAGTATTTTTGAATACAGTTGTCTTGAAATGTATCAACCCCTATTTTGGTTCATGTAGTATAAAGTATTCTGGCTCACCCTAAAAAAACGAGTGGGCTATTGAATAGAAATATTTTCTTTATCAGGTTAGAATATCTAGTAAAGAGACTATCGTATAAACTAATTGATCATTGAGTAGTAGGCAATGTTATGTTAATTAATTCTTTACTGTATTCTATCTGACTACTAATAACTAGTTATTATGGTGAAGTTTTTGGATGTTATTTAGTAACTTGCATGCTGTTATACTTGACATGAGTCTTTATAATAATTGATACTTGATAGTAGGATATAATTGCGATCTTGGCGGATCAGATATTCTCAGCTCTATTCTAATCCATGTTATCCACTGTCGTGATCGCGAACATACACTGTCACTAAGACAACGGCATTTGATATTTTTGTAAAACTAATATGCGTTTACATTGATTTATCATGAATGGTAATAATAAAGCTGATATGCTGTCTAGCTGTTTTTACCTATTCAAACTCGGTTTCCCTGTAATTGCTTCATACACCTTACTCAGGTCTATATTTTCTTGACAGTTATTACCAGCCAACTTACATCAAAATACTATAGAATCTACCAATATATTATACACAGTCATATTAATGTCATCCATACCATTTTCGAAAACATGACTATTTTAACGTTCCAATGTTTACTTGTTATATGTACTTGGTTATCCAGTTTCTTTATTTTCCAGTGTTTGTCGGTGATAGTATGGATAAAACTAACAGTTATCAGTTAGCATTAGGTCTATCACTTTTTTTTTCTTCTGCAGTATAGGGTTTGTTTTCAAATATGCAACGATGTGAATATGAAACTAATGATTGTTCCAATATAATAAAAACTGTAACTTCTAGTGTAAATAAATGTACAAACTACTACTTGGGTGTTTTAACTAGAATAACTAAATTGAATTCGAAAATATACAATCCAGTCATGCAAAAGTTAGTTGTCTTAGTAAATGAGTCACGGTGTTCATTACTCAAAGCTTATTACATTCTATTCACTTTATAAATTATAATTAATCACATTCATTAGTATTGTACGAAAAGTTTTATATGGAGTATATATATGTATTATAAATTGGCATAATTTACACGTGTTAAACAAAAGAATAATTATTTCATGTGAGGTAATGTATTAGCTATTCATCCAGTATACACGTACCCTTATGTTTTCTTTTTTTATAATGGTTTTGTATATTTTCTAGTATTAGTTTTTGTTACTTTCGGATTTTGTTTATTTTCTTAATATTCCAAATATCACATGTTCCACCTATGATGTGTTTATCATCAAGTAGAAAAAAACTAACGATAGTTATGCATTCACAATGGAGTCATAGATAAATAAACATTCACTGAATCCTGCTTCGGTTTGGGCACCCGGGCAGCAGTATCACAGCCTTCACACATATCAAATGAGTTTTGTGTGGCGCATATGTATTTGGTGCATCCTTGTACCAATATCCATGTGTTAAAATAAAATAAATAATAATAGATTTAAAAGTTGCCCATATTCATATTATTCAAAAATTATTATGTTACCTGTTATCTGATTTTCGTAATGCATACAGTAATTGGTTGTGGTAATCAATGAGATGTTTGTCTAATCCTTAATGATGATCGAATTTTAGCGATAGGGCTGTAATATGGCTATTGGTCTAAGTAATTCGATGATATGGTGTGAACTGTGTGTTACTATCGACAGGAAACCCTGGGTCTAGGTTTCGTTCTAGCAGGTATTTGACAAAATGGCGTTTAATGTAATTATGAGATAACTGATTCTTACTGTGGGATTCAAACCCACATCACAACTTATCTTCTTAGTCTAGAAGGTTTTTGAACAATAATTGTATTTAAATGTTCTCATTTTTTTAAATCTTCTGTTTTAGCTTTCCTACACAAGCGTATCAGCTTTGGTTGTTTGGAGACCTACTAAAGATACGGAACCTATACTTCGATTTCTTTTTGTATCACCAAATGCACATCAAACACGTATTTTGTTAAGTCTTGATGCATTAATTACTAGTTTCATCTACCTTCGTCATCCCAAAGCTGTCCAGCAGAGTTCGAACGAAAACGACCATCACAACCTTCAAGTGCAGGTAATTTCCATATTTTTCTTTGTTGTTATAATGTATTTTTGACTACTATTTTCCATAGAAGTAGAATTCTGTTTAAAACTTTCTATTGGTGCAATTTTTTATTGATTTATCAAAAATACAGCTTCACGTCGCCCAACGGTACCAGTAGCGCACGCAACATCGGGTAGTAACGAAGGCAGTATCAATTCTGTAGGACAAAATAATAATACTACCGCTTCTCGGCCATCTCATGTAGCAAAGAAGGGGACGACGACAAAGACAACACAGGATACTGCAGCACATCGGCCTCCATCATCTAAAACACCTGCAAGCAGTAAAACACAAGCGAATGCTAAACCTCCTGTTAACAAAACTAATCACGTGGTTAAAAATGCTGATGTTGTTGTGGAGTCACCATCTAAACAACCAGAGGTTCATGATAATGGTAAGTAAATACTTTTAATATAGACTATGATTAGTTGGATGGAATTTTAATATAAAACTCCTAAAGGAATATAATCTTTAGAGTTTATAGATTATACACCTAATAAGAAAGTTTTTTAAGTGGGAAAAGTAATTCCAGCCGTAGGCTTTCTGAAATATGGTTCAGACTGATAAAATTTTTCAACGTCTTGTAAATCTCACGGTTTTTTAAAAAGAAATTCTTAACACTGTCAATCTGTTTTACATAATAACTCTGTTAGTTTATTTTAAAACCAGTTACTTCTATGATTGTACCGAAACCAGCTTTTATAACATGGGAACACGAATTTGTAGTGGCTGTGCTTCGTTGACCAATCACCCTCGTAACTGTTATCATATTATCCTCTACGGTGTTTGAAATCAGAAGGCAAAGAGAAGCAGCGACTACAGTTTTATTGGCAGATATAACTCAGACAGCCAAGCAGAGAGGCAAATGAATAAATGAGTTAGCGAACCGAGAGTGTAGTATTAAATGTACATGTATATATATAGGGAAATGAATGGGTCATCGAATCAATTAAGCAGTTAATAATAAAGCTATCAGAATGAATATATGCGTAGGCGGTAAGCAATGTTCAAGCACAACAATAATAAAGCCCCCGAATACCCTGCTACGGCCGAGAGTGGAGAGGGAGAGTCAGCTTTCCCTCTCAAAATGCTCTCACATGGCCACGCGTATATAGCCTCTGCCAAAGAATTCCTACTCACTGCCCTCTCGTGACGGGGGTGTTGTTTACGAAAATGAGAGGACGAGAAGCGAATGTCCGGCGCTTTAACCCGATTCTAAACCAATGGTGCACATGGGCTCCAGTATTCTGCGAGAACAAATGGCGTATGAACCAATCGTTGGTCACCGGCTTCCATGGGACTGCATCTCCTTATGATGCTCCACTGCCTTGTGAATCAGACTTTCAGGTTGAAGGCTACGGGTGTGGCCCCCTAAGGAAACCACCTAGTTCGGTTTGAGCACCCGAGCAGTATCACAGCCCTCACACAAACCGAATGATTCATGTGGCGCATATGTATTTGGTGCCTTGTACCAATATCTATGTGTTAAAATATAATAATAAAGGTACAATAAGTTGTTATAGTACGGATGACTTTGTCCGCTAAATAAGTTAACAAAAGGGCTTAACAACTGAATTAAATGAGAACAAACTCAATTGCACGTGAGTTGCTATAAATTACCTCAAGCAGGAAGTTGATTTGTGTCAGTCTAAAAAAAAACATCCTGGCCTTCCAATTTTTTTTCTAAAATTTGTTGTCCAGTTGAATTTCTATTGCATAGTAAAAACGTTAATATTATTTATAAAAGAACATTCCAACTTGTAATTCATTTAGTAGATTGGAAAAAAAAGTGATCTAACTTTTTCTTATTATTTCTGATGTTAAGTCGATCGATTCAGCACTTGATCCGATTTCTTTTTTTATACAATAAAATCCATTCCTATTCAGTAAAGAATTTTGTTTCTGAACGTTCTTTTTCTATCTCCAATTTAGTACGTATATATGTATATATAGTAGTAGATTGTTATTATTATGATACTAACCTTACAATTATGTACACAGTGCAGTGCTCGTTACATAAATCTAACAATGTTTCTTTAAAAATATGTAAAGAAAAACTGAAGCATAGAACTAATGAATAGAATAAATTAGGCTGTCCCGAATTTCGTCTTGTTTTGTTTGTTTGTTTGTTTTTCGCAATAAAACGCCCCATTTTTATTGATTCAGTAGTTTAAAGGAATTTTTCTTTCTTCACTGTTGATTGTTGACTAATTCACTTAGGATATGATTTCATGTAGAAATGAATAATAATAATAATAATAAGCGCCATTAATTATAAATTAACTTTGTGTACATATATATATATATATATATATATGCATGAATATATATGTACATAATTATCAAAAGTCAATGTAGAATTCTATATAAACTTTGATTTAATAATCATTTGTAACTTTGTAACTATTAAATTATCCATAAAACATTTATTGTTTTATAGATATTAATGCTAATTAGTTTGAACTTGTGAATTTGAAGTGAATGTTACCGCATATGTGAACTACTACTGCTTTTTAGAAGAAAAAAAATGATTGACTGAATTATTTGTGTATTGATACTATTCTGTTGACATTTATCCTCATTTCACTTGAATGAAGCTATATTTATATTGTTAGGTTTGTATATATAGGTATAATTTCAGTCAATCAATTATAAATAACATGAAATCTAGCACCTATGTATTTTGTTTCAAGCTGTTACACCAGTCAGTCAGTCAGCTACAATGTAGGACCAGGCACATATGTGCATCGGTCCAGGTTGCCATACCGCATCAGCACAACAAGATGAACACCGGATTCGTAGCAGTGGTTAGGTCAAAGGTGGTAATAAATAAGAGGAAGATTGCATATAGAGATATAGTACAAGAAGAAAGAATTGGTTAGTAGAAAGAAAGATATGAAGTGATTTTAATCTCTTAGTTTAAGGGAAGACAGGGAGTGTACACACGGACGCCATTGTGATCGATTCTGAGCCATGTCACCAAGAGTCTCCAACCATCGGTTACGAAAGTCACGCGGACCCCAACCAAGTAGTCTGCATCTACAAACATGGCTCAGACTAGAAGTTAGTGACTTCAAGCACTGATGCCTCGTTTTGGTTTGGCCGCCCCTAACTTTCTTCCAACCATCTCCAATACCGGATAGCATTGCACGTCGTGGTAATCGGTGTTCAGGCATACGTGGCCCAACCATCTCAGTCGATGAAGATTCATAACCTCATCAACTGATTTACCATCATTTCCCAATACCCTGCGTCTAACCTCACTATTACTTACCCGGTTATACCAGCAAACGCCTAACGTCTAAGCTGTTACACCATTGTAATATAGCAAGTTTTGAAGATAAGTACTAGACTAGTAGGACTACTGACGATATCAGTGATAGTAGAAAGAAAAATTAAGCATAAACAAAATAATCCTACAAGAAAGAATAAATTTGCAGAATGGAAATTTAACAATTTTAAAGTCAAGATCTAAGGGAAAACAAAGAGTGAATGAATCCTTTATATTGCGACTGATTCTGAGCTGTGTTACCCAATAATCACATGTTTTATTTTATTTTATTTTAACACATAGATATCGGTACAAGAAGGCACCAAATACATATGCACCACACAAACCTCATTTGATATGTATGAGGGCTGTGATACTGCCCGGGTACCCAAACTGAACCAGGTGGTTTTCTTAGGGGGCCACACCCGGAGCCTTCGACCTGAAGGTTTGATCCACAAGGCAGTGGAGCAACGTAAGGAGATGCAATCCCATGGAAGCCGGTGACCAACGATTGGTTCATACGCCATTTGTTGCTTCAGGATACTAGAGCACATGTGCACTATTGGTTTAGAATCAGGGTTTTCCAACTCCCCTAGGTGGACTCACCGTGTCCACCAACCCGGGTAAAGCGCCGGACATTCGCTTTTCGACCTTCCGATTTCATAAACAACACCCCCCGCCACGAGAGGGCAGTGAGTAGGAATTCCTTGGCAGAGGCTATATACGCGTGGCCATGTGAGAGCATTTTGAGAGGGAGAGCTGACTCTCCCCACTCTGGACCGTACCAGGGCATGTACCGTAGTTTTCACTTACCCACATGACTCAGACCAACAATCATTGACTTCATGAACTGATATTACGTCCTAGTTTGACCACCATTATCTTTATTCCAAATTATCAGCAAATATTCAAGCATCAGAGTATGGAGTGGTTAAGCATATGTAATACATATCCAAATCATCTCCGTCAATGAAGGTTCGCTATTTCATGAGATAATTTACCATTCTTACTTAATTTCTTAAGAGGTTTTGTGGTAAGCTTGAATTACTGTCCATTCGACACATTTTAAACAGCTGTTTCAAATAAAAATAAGTCTCGCAACGAACAATTAAAAGAAAATCAAGTGTTTATTTTATTGATACATCTATGCTTCCTTTTACTCGCAATCAGTCATTGCGAAAACTTGTTTCCTGAAGTCAATAAAATTATATTTTTTCAATTTCTCTTTACAGAAGTTTCTACACCAAATTTGATACCTTCAGAATTAATTACTGAAAGTTCCGATATTCATGATGTATCAAATAATATTATCAATGGTGATATGATGCATAAAACAAATGGTTTTACTCATGATCATTCCGATTTTGAGCATTCTGTTAACTCAGAGCAAGCGAATCATGATTTATTGATTCATGATGTGAATTCAATGAAATTGCAAGATTATGGTGAAAATGTTTTTATCGCTGCTGATAATCTTAATAATAATAATAATGATACTAGTGTTAATAATAATAATAATGATAATAATAATAATTTAAAGGATTGTAATCAAATGATGTCAACCGGTTTTGATGAATATGATCCTATTGCATCATGGGGATCACCCCAGAATTTGCCTTTACCGCCTACAGGTAACAGTAAAAGTGATTTTTAAAATTTCAATTACTTTTGTTAATCTTTGATTTATATTGTAGTAGTAGTAGTAGTGTTTTCGTATGAATTGTAATAGCATCATTATTTATTTAATTTGTATTACATCTAGTTGTATAATTGTTGTAACGCGTAGTGTGTGGACTGCAGGTTATGCTAGACAGCGTTTATATCGATCGATTACAGTAGACACGGAAACACGTATGAACGACCTAGTGCCCTGATTGGTCCCGCTTCGCTGTCTGTCCCAGCCAGTTGAGTCAAGAACGCAAGTCACAGCCTCTGAGTTATGAATCATTATATTTCAAACATACTTTGTTTATATACCAATCAAACATACCACATCGTACCATAAAATAGATAACAACATTTTACACAATATTTAACAAGTGAAATAAACACGACCAATAAGAAATGTACATTTAAGGTCCAAGGACACCATTGAACTTAATATGATAATTATTGGTCTATTTTCCCGACTATCCTAACAATAATTGTCCACACAGTAATTATAAATATTTTTTATGTAACTGAATAGTGATTTTATTAGCGTTCATGTAAGACCTATATTTTGTAAACTAGTTGATTGGGGTTCGCACGACTGTTGTAACAAATGATTAGAAGCTATGTAACATGGCCCAGAATCGATCACAATGACTCAGGTTTATCCACTTTTTGTTTTCCCTTAAACCGTTAGATTAAAATTGCTTTATATCTTTCTTTCTACGAAATAATTCTTTCTCCCTGTATCATATCCTTATATGAATTGTTCTTCTTTTACTATCATTTTAATAACGGCTATGAATTTGGTGTTCATCTTGTTGTGCTAATGAGATATGGAAACCTGGACTGATGCATATATGGGTCTGGTTCTACGTTGTATCTAATTGACTGACTTGAACTTATCGAATGTATCATTCCTTGCATGATTGTGATACGATTGTTTTCACTATGACTGGTCTTATTTCTCACATAATATCTCCTTTATACCTTTTTCTCTTGTTTATTTTAAGTAATGTGACAGCAAAAGTTAAGCCTAATAGAATTAATTAGCCATGAATGCCATTAGAGAGTAAATGATGTGTAATTTCCGTATTTATTTCCTAAATGATTCCTGATCATGTTTATTCTTCGGTCCAATATTTTGTATATAAGGTTGTTATATATATATATATATATATATATATATATATATATCGTCAGTTCGATGTTTCGTATTGTTCCAAACTGGCCATTTTATGATTGTTATAAATCCCTCTTCTTACGGTCATGACCCAGCTATTCCTATTGCTTAGTATTCTCGGACACCGATTCACTCGACAAGTCCCCAAATCAAAACACGGTTGAACAGGAAAGAGATTATATCCCAAATAACAAGGTTAGATGGAAGTAAGAAGCAAGTCAAAAGCACAGTAGAGAAAACGTCAGTATATTTATAGTTATTTTACATGAGAAGGTTCTAGAGTATTCTCAACTATCGACTAGCGCTGATTGGATAAGAATTAGCCAATCGGCGTGCACCAAAGCAATCGTGAATTGAGCATGCTTTAATCCGGTCTATGTCCCACTAACACCTCCCCTTTGAGCAGATTTGTAGGATCTGGTGCTAGGGTCCAACTGCAACCGAGTGACTGGTCTGTGCTTTCGATTAGTCCATCGTCTAGGCAATAGAGAAGTATCACTTTTTTCTTGCACAGACACTGACATGTCTGTTCCCGCCGTTTTGATTTCGAAGGTGTCTAGCAGAACATCAAGAGGTAATCGATATTGAATCTTGTTGCTGGCTATCGAAGTTGCTTTCAATTGGTTAGCATGACGTACCCAAACTTCTGAGCCAACTGACACCTTGTAAACCACACTCCCCTTCTTTTTCAAGATCCGACCAGCTGTCCATGTAGGATGTTTCCCACGATAGTCCATAACAAGCACTTTTTGTCCCACCGTGAACAATCGTCTTTGTGCCCCATGATGTCGGTTGAACTGATTCTCCATCGATAGGTTTCGTTGGGGTTCAATAGCTGGCGTAGGACGGATGACATCGAAATGTGTTCGTATCTTTCTGCCAAGTAGAGCTTCTGCTGGAGAGACCCCGTTAATCGTCTGAGGGTTCGGTGTAGAGCGATAAATAAACAGGTACCTCTCTAAGATATCTTCAGTGGTCCCTTCCCCTTTGGATTTCTTTAGAGCATTTTTAAATGTACTCACAAAGCGTTCCACTTGGCCATTTGATTGGGGATAGAATGGAGGTGTTCGGAGGTGCTGGATTCCGTTCTCCCGACAAAATTGTGAGATTTCGGACGTAAACTGTGTCCCGTTGTCACTAACTATCAATTACGGGATTCCGAAGCGACTGAATAGTTGACGTAGTTTACTGACTGTGCAGCTTGCAGTCGGGTGTTCCATGAGAAAAATTTCTGGCCACTTGCTATATGCATCAACCACCAAAAGGTAAGTTTGTCCATGAAGTGGACCAGCAAAGTCCAAATGTATACGCTGCCACGGTAACTGTGGTATTGGCCATGATTGCAGCTCTGCTTTTCGCGGTGCTTTTGCTGCTAATGCACATTTGGTACACGAGCGGGATAGCTGCTCCAGTTGGGTGTCTAAATGCGGCCAGTATACATAACTTCGTGCTAGTGCTTTCATGCGATTTATTCCAGGATGTCCTGCATGCAAATGTTCAAGCACTGCTGGTTGTAGCTTCTTGGGGATTATGACACGTTCGGCAAATAGCAGACAGTCATCGATGATTGAAAGAGAGAGTCTTCTCTGATAAAACTGTTGAAGCTCTGTGGAACTGATTTTCGAGGGCCACCCTTCTAGGTGGAACTTTCTAACTTCTTGTAGGGTTGGGTCTCGAAGCGTTTCTTCTCTGACTTCATCAGACGACACTGGAGTGTTTCGAATGGCATCTGCTACTATACTTCGTATTTCTGGGTCTACTGCTGTGGAGGCAATGATTATATCCTCTGGTCCAGGATGTTGAACTCCAATTAATCGAGAGAGAGCGTCAGCTTGACCGATAGTATTTGTCGACTGATACTTGATATTGAAATCATAACTCAGGAGCATTGTTGCCCAGCGCTGTAGTCTATTAGCCGTATAGACAGGGATTTCTTTCTTAGAACCAAAGATTGCAATCAAAGGTTTGTGATCTGTCAGTAGAGTAAATGTACGACCATAGAGCATTTTATGAAATCTTTTGACTGCGAAAATGATTGCAAGAGCTTCCTTTTCAATTTGGCTGTAGTTTCGCTCGGCTGGAGTAAGTGATCTAGCAGCATGGGCAATTGTCTTTTCTGATTTATCCGGAAGCACGTGAGATATCACTGCTCCAACTCCATCACTAGAGGCATCAGATGCAACAACAACTATTGAGCACACTTTTCACTCGACCAGAAAATAAGAAATCTGTTTATGATGCAGTTGCTAGCAGCATCCCAGAATTCATCTATGATCCCGAAAGTGGAAATACTTTTCTCACGTGGTTCAAACGCTGGGAAGATACATTTAGAACAGAATTCTGTAACCAAGACGATGCGTGGAAGACCCGATTGTTGGTACGTAAGAAAGAGATTATAACAATGATCTAAAATGAAAATGCGTTTGGGGATTGTTAAAATAACGGGCGAAATAAGCCGATCGATTAATCGTATGCAATGAAACAGATGTATTCTAGTGTTGGCTGCTTAGTAGATTGAATTACTGGCGTAAACACCACAAATGTTTTTGAAATCAATTAACACGACAGCTATGTATATAGATTATATATTATTAATACTTTACAACTGAAAAGAAAAATATTTCATACAATAGGGAACCAAAAGAATGCGCCATAAATAGTGGAATGATAATTTGTTTTTATTTGACGTAATAAAGACGAATCAAGATTGTAAAATCAATAAACAAATGAACGAAATGTTAATTAATACAGTAATAGTATGCATTTCATTCGAAAATATTTGTACATATGAGGTAGATTTCTATCGATTCCTGATCATATCTCGAATGTTATTGTCGATGCCTAGTTTTTTTTACTGTTACTACCTCCACTAATATTGAGTTCATCTAGATAGTTTCACCTGACGGTGTTGATATAATGTAGCAACTTAAGCCGATTCATGTACACATTAGGATGTACGTTGGTTATGGCCAACTGACTGAAGGATTGGCTTCTATTCTGAACTTATGTCTGATAATATCTATCATAATCAGTCATTCGCTAATAGGCAGTGTAGAAATTAGCATTAATGCCTATCGGTTCAAGTCGTGTTGTAACTCAACACCTCAGCAGAACATCATAAAAAAAAGATGGAAGGAAATAAATGTGTCAATAGACATAATGGGAGAGTCTAAGCGTGTCAGGTATCTAGTGTTTACATAGAATAAATGAAATCGAAAACTGAAAAAAAGAGTCATAGAATGACTTCCAATAAACTCAATATCTGCGAAAGAAATTATCAGTATTTTTACAAAAAAGAAACGTACATCTCTATTTAAGCTGTTTTTAGTGATTCGGATTAATTTTGTTTTAATCTTATTGTTTTTGTTCTATACAGGTTCAGAAGTTGGCAAAAAACCTGAAACAGTTGCAACAACAAACGGTGAAAAGAAATCCGCATGTATGTGTGACAACATTACAATTATTATCATTACTAATTTATTTTCCTACATCTTTTTGTTTCATTACTATTGTATGAATAAACGATAATGAATTATTAATGACCAAATTGTTAATACTTTAAAATGATTTCTTTTTTGGTATGGAATTTACATCACTGGTATAATGATGATACGATGCCCAACAGATAAGTCTTAATTGTTTGGGGCATAGTTGACCTACAAATTCATATCTTCCAATCGCCTATAACAATTTATTGTTTTGTTTTCGTGTTCATATTAGTATGAATGTATGTTATTTTGTTACATGAAAAACTATTCATCTGAATGGTGATCTTTGATTTCTTACCATTCGGGAGGCAAAAATCACTAATATAGTCTCCCGAGTAGCCATCACTCGGTCATATTATATCATTGCTTATCGTCCATCGATTAGCATTGTATTTATTCAGCCAAACTCTGTCTGTCTTTATCCTTGATTGTTTGTCGAAAAAAAGATCAATTTTGATTGTAAAATATTAAACCTTCAAAACTAGTTTGATGACAACGCTGAAGCGCTTAAATATTCACTTTATATTTGCATAATGGTCGATATTTTTCGAAAAAAGCCATCAAAATTATAGAGCAAATATATTGTACTTGAATTGGTTTCTTGTCAACAAAATGTTTGTCATACTATATTTCTGATTGTCTCTGCGTCATGCTCTGAGTATGACAATTTCTGTTTGATTTTACTGACAATAAATTAGTTTTTGATCGTTTTCCCCCCTCTTTTTTTCAGCTCATTTGACGAGGAGGGTTACATCTGTCAACAGTAGTAGTGGTAGTACAGCATTGGGTGCAACAAAAACTGGTAAGTTCAAGATTTATAGACGAACATTATTATTAGTATTAGTATTGTTTCCTGTTTTCTGGTTTATTTCATCTTTTTTTCAATATATAGTAACTGATCATTTAAGCAATGGTTATAAACGATATTAAGTCTGGAGTCCGAAATTTTGTCGGAGGCTGAGACCTAGTTAGATGTTTGCATCATGAAACTCTTAAATCGGATTTTTGTGTGAAGTTTATCAATTCTTTTCCATGTCTCTCAAAGTTGTATCTCAATTGGTAAAGGTTATATTTGAAAGGTGGATAGTGCAGCCCTGGAATAGTTGAGCACATTTTTCTCGGGTGTTTTGGGAACTGAAGTTTTTTTTTACTTAAACTGTTTTAGAATCAAAGTTTTATCCTCAGAGCATTTGTTCACAATAGTATCGAGATGTTCTCTGGATTCCTCGCAATTGTTTAGTTTCCGAAAACGTTAGCTGCTCATCAATTTAATTCAAATGACATGCTGAGTTTCCTTCAACGTTTTAAATATTGAAACCGTTAAATCACAACCATACAAGTTTGAGAATGATAAAAACTACATTTAGATGTTAGAAGTTAAATTTACCAAAGGCCCTCACATAAACGATGTAATCTGTAATATGAGCCCATATATAATAATTATCAACAATAGTTATTCAATACGTTCATTTCTATAGTTTTTTTTTAGCTCTCAGGTATAAAAAAATCCTAGTATGTAAGTTATCTTCGTTGGTCCCATTGAAGAAAGAAAACTTAGGTATCATCTGCAACTTACCACGAATGCATATTTATTTGAAACTCATGAAAAAAAGACGATTCAGGTTAGAATCAAGTCAGAAATAACTACAGTCCTCGAGAAGCATGTGTTCCTGAAATTAAAGGTCTTAAACGACACTCTCAGTAAACTAACGACACAACGCGTGATAGGAGTGATTCATGAAGCATTTACTACAGCTAAGCTGTATGTGTGGTCTATTCTACAAGCGTCGTATTATTAGAACCAGAAACAAGGACTTCCTGAATTCCCCTCATTCGTGTATTTATCAATTCAGCTGTTCCGGTTGAGCCTTCATAGCAGAAGAAAAATGAGAGAAATCCGTCATCGTTTTTTTGTAGAGGATCCTAATAGGTTAAGTGAAGGATATTTGAGGCTAATTAAAATCTCTATATGTAATCACCCAATTAATCCAAGTAGACCTAAGGAAAAATTTTCAATTTTACTTTTTATTGAAGCTATCAACATCTGCCTTAACAAACATGACCACTGTATCTATAAAGCAATTTGTACATCCACTCTTCTTTTCTATTCGCCTTTGCTCTTAAAAAATGATTAACTACTTATGTATCAGTTTTGTTTTCTTGTTTTAATTGTAATTTTCAATAGTTATTGCTTTATTGATAGTTTTGTTTCAGATATAAATTAGTGATTAACATGGTTAATCCATCACATGTTTAAGAGATGATGCTCCAAACTCAGTCATTCGAACTGTACGTAGGAGGGAGTGGGGTGAGAGATTGTGGTCTCAGTGAAAAAAAGATCTCATTTTTCTTATTTTTCAATACTGGTAGATAATTGTCGTTTCTAGAAGTCTCCGTTACAAAACTATTAGGCTTATTTGACCAATGGTCGGAAACGCGTTGTTCCTTCTCGTTTCTCTTTGTATTAATCACATATATTGATTTTATGGAGATAATGGTAACTATATATACTAAAAAATTGTGTGAACTTCCAAAGTTGAAGTGCTCAGGATTTCTTGTTATAAATTAAAGTTTAATGCACGAGACTGCTTGACATGAATGTTTTAAATTGCTAATAATTCATATTCGATAGCAGTGTATAGGCATATTTTTTTTACCATTTGTTATTTCTATTCGTCGTATTTCATTTTTCTGTATGCCTATTTCACTTTATAATTGATAGTCAGAAAGTTATATGACATTTCATTGATCTCATTTCTCTGTTTTATTATTGCGCCTTAAAAACATATATTGGTGTTTTTTCTAAACGAAGCTTCTGTTTTTAAACTTATCTTTCTTTTTTACTTGTATTCTGCTCATAGGTCGTCTTTCTCTTGCACCTCGTGTTGGTGGAATACATTCGAGTATAAGCAACCAGCCAGTCAGTTATCCTCCTGGCTATACTATTGCCTCTGGTCATGCTCCAGGTATAGCAAAGGCTCCTCCATATGATAAGGTCAAACCGATTTATGTTGATGTTGCTTTTCTACCAGGTAGTGGAAATTCAAATTACGTTGATGCTGAGTGGTTTAAACGTGTTCGAGCTCGTTATTATGTAGCCACTGATGTAAGACCAACATGCTCTCTTCTAGAATCCTTAGTCGTAGGAAAAGAATCATGGGGTGGTGATGATGCACAACTTGATGTCTCTTTAATATTGGCCTATGAAACTGAGGAGTTATTAGTATGGCTTGGTGTGAATGCTGGACGTCTTAACAATTGTCATGTTAATGTTGCGGCCGTCATTTCACGTTCATCTATCCAAATATTAAATGAAAAAGCTTCAGCTGTCGGCGATGGTCCTCTTAACTATCCAGGCTATCGTATAGACCTATTTTAACCAATAAGGTATCAGCATGTCACTGACGTACATAACTAATTTTTAACTGATGAATCTCAGTCTTCATCTTTTCATCAGTTGTATCGGCTTTACAAAACAGAATAGTATTTCATTTCTATATCTTCGTATATATGTGTGTGCGTGCGTGCGTATTAACAGGAGCAGCTCTCCATCCATATTACTACATCGAGAAATAGGGTAGGAATCTTACAGTATGAAAGTTTTTTTTCGAAGACATTAGAAAGTAAACATTGTGTATGTGTCCCTCTGTGTATATCAATGAACCTTCTGACTGGCTTTTCAGTTATTTTATTCGATTGGTTTTTAAAGAGATTATTATATTTACGTTGTTCACTTGTTTCTAGTTGTTGTTATCGTCTTCGTTATTGTAAGATTCAGTCAGTTTTTACCCATGAATTTGTGAAGCTGCCTCATATATACTGTTTCTTATTATTTCTCTCGCACATACATTTATATATACATACATAGTAAATTTGTTTTATTGCATCTTTCTTTTAATGTGCATCTGCTTCACGATTGACTTTCTTCACATACTCAACATTTTAACGCTTGTAATATTTCTCTCATTTTAAGTGTGTGTATGACTGGGTGAAAGATGTTGCTTCTTTAATGATAAAAGGACTAAATATGCATTATATATATATAGCCAAACGCATTTCTGTCTCTATTCTGGAGTACAAACTTACTATTATTACTGTTATTATTTATCTATTTGCCAATATTATATATATATATATATATATATATATATATATATATATATATATATTGGTCACCGCATCCTTCTTGACACGCACATAATACATTCCTTGTTCTTATTGCTACATCATTATTATAACTCATATAATGCGTTGTTTCTTTCTTGTTGAACAATGAAATTCATAAAATTAAATCTTTATATGCATTATTCCACTTGTTTTTTCCTTCATCATTTACTAATTCAAGATATCTACACTGGTATAACGTCAGAGAATAAAGTACTGTTCATTTGGATAAGAATCAACTTTATTCTTAATGCATTTCATTACTGTTGCCATTATTTATTTATTTATTTGAACACACGAATATTGGTACAAGAGAGCGCCAATATATATGCGCCACACAAAACAATGAGAATTCGAAGAGAAATAGAAAAAAGAAAAAAAAACTAAGGAGCGCAAAAAAAAGAGAACAATAACGAAGAGATTGGTGTAAGGTAGTGTGGTAGTAACGAGGGAACGGAAAGGTACAATCAGAAGAAATCTTTCAGGTAAGGAGACACAACCACTTTTTATGAAGAAAGTAAAAGAAGGTTACAGCAGGATCGCCACTGGCTTCTATTCTGAGCCATATCTGATAACGTCTCTAGCCACTGTGTAGCACCATCTCTCAGACCCCAACCAGGGAGTCGTGAAGGACCAACACAAGCCAGTCCTTTGCAGCTTTCTTTCATGCCACGACACCATGTCATGCACTGACCACCTCTCCGCTTCTTCCAACCAGTCCCAGAGTCGGCAAATAATGCACGACGTGGAATTCTCTGGGACGACATTCGGAGAACATGTCCAAGCCACCGAAGTCGGTGTTTCAAGATGGTGACACCAATTGAATTATCATCTCTGTGCCCGAACACACGATGCCGAACCTCTGCATTACTGACATGGTGTTGCCACTGAATGTCAGCAATCCTTCGGAGACAGCGATGATCGAACACAGAGAGTCGTCTAACGTCCTCAACTCGGAGAGGCCAGGTTTCACAAGCATAGAGCAAAACTGCTCTCACCGACGCGTTGTAGATCCGACCTTTTACAGCCAGACTAACATCACGAAGGCGCCAAAGGTGGCCCAGATTGGCATAAGCCGCTCTGGCTTTCACTATACGTGCATTGATCTCATCACTCACACCCCCACCAGCACTTATGCAGCTACCCAGATACACGAACTTCTCGACTACGTCTATCTGCTCACCATCCAGGGTGAGTACAGGATTAGAATCCTGCCAGTCTTGTAGAAGTACTTTGCACTTCGAAGGTGCAAAGCACATACCATACCTACGGACACTGATTGCCAACTGATTAAGTGCGGATTGCATGCCTTGGGCATTATCGCACAGTAAGACAATATCGTCCGCATACTCAAGGTCGAGAAGTCTTTCTCCAGGCAACAGATCCACACCACCATTACTTACATTCATCAGAGCTGTTTCCAGAATGTCATCGATGGCAAAGTTGAAGAGGAATGGTGAGATTGGGCAACCCTGCCTAACCCCACTGCTCGAATGGAACAATGGAGAGAGGTGGTTGTATGCCCTCACTCTGCCTGAGGTGTTTTTATATAGGGCTTTTAGGATGTTAATAAACTTCTCAGGCACACCCTTCTTCAATAGACAATCCCAGAGAACAGTCCTGTCCAACGAATCGAAGGCAGCCCTGATGTCAAGAAACACTACGATTGTTGGCCTTTGATAAGTATGGCGGTGTTCTAACATTTGGCGGAGGGTGAAGATATGATCAATACATCCTCGACCAGAACGAAACCCAGCCTGCTCCTCGCGAGTCAATCTTTCTCGGGTTTTGAACAACCTACGAAGTATGACGGAAGCCAATAGCTTGGACGCAATCGGAAGTAGACTTATCCCCCGATAGTTGTTACAGGAACGACGTGAACCCTTTTTAAAGATAGGGACAACTATCGACTCATTCCATGACGTTGGTACACTCTCTAGTTCCCAAACCTTTGTAAACAACGTCGTCAATTCCTTAGTCAAAAAGTCACCACCATCTTTAAAAAGAGCCGGAGGTAAGTCATCTGGGCCAGGTGATTTGTAACGCTTCAAGAGTTGGAGTTCCTTGCGGACTTCCTCCTCGTTTGGTGGATCAGTCGTCACCGGCCATGGAGGGCAGGACAGTCTGACCGATGTTGCCGGAGCAGCAGGCCAGTTGAACTGCCCTTCGAAAAATTCTGCCCATCGTCCAAGACGTCGATGGATGTTAGTGATTGGCATCCCATCATCCTCGCAGATTGTTTCACTCACACCAGACTTCTTGCTGCCAGTGGCTCGGATGAGCTGGAAGAGCTTCCGGTAGTTACCAGATGCAGCTGCTGCTTCCAGCTCATTAGCACGCATCGACCACCAGGCTTCTCGGTCCTTACGCAAGCTTTGCCCAATTTCCTTACGTAACATCCTTCGTTTATGGTCAAACTCACGGTCACCCGGAGTAGACCGACGGGCTTCAATGAGTTGTAAGGAACCAGAAGAAACCCAGTGCTTAAAAGCGGGACGTTTCGCAAACCCACAACTGACTGTTCCCGCCATTTTCATGGCGTCATGCAATTGCAACCAATGCTCATCTATACTTTTCGGTGGAGTGGTAGCTAGCCTAGAGGCTAGCTCGGTTCGATACTTACTTGCAACAGAAGTTGCAACCAGCTTGCTAACATCAATCCGTTGATGGCGGTCACTTCGTTGTCCACTGAAAAGTAAGGCAAGATTGGCGCAGACCAAGGCATGGTCAGAGTCCAGATAGGTACTCCAAAAGGAGCGGCAGTCTTGTACACAACCACGCCAGCGGTAGCTGATCGCGATGTGATCAATCTGAGTCCAGGCTTGAGATGCAGAGGGAGGACGCCAGGTGGCACATCGGCGATGACTGTGCCGAAAGTTAGTGCTAGCCAGAAACAGGTTGTGGTCTGTGCAAAGTTGCAGTAGACGGTCCCCGTTATCTGACCTGCGACCAACGAGTCCCCATCGGCCACCTAAACGACTCTCTTCTGTGCCTAGACGCCCGACCTGAGCATTCAAGTCTCCGGCTAGTACTACAATATCTGTCGAACGCACTTTCTGGAGAAGAACAGATAACTGGTGGTAAAACTCATCCTTGATTGCATCCGGGCTGCAATCTGTCGGGGCATAGGCGGAGATGACGAAAAGACATCGTTTCTCACGCCGATTTCTTCTCACTTTGATGGAACTTTCTAATCTAACAGCACATAACCGACTGTTAATGGGGATCCAATCGACTAGTGCTGCCTCAGCTCTAGCGCTTAGTGCGACACCAACGCCAGCAAGACCAGACGAAGATGCCACAGGGTCCCCGGATAAGCGCACGTAAAACAAGCTTTTCGAAGCGACAGATGGAGATCGAATTTGTAGTACTTCGCCAGAGTCTTGAATACGGGTCTCGGATAGACAACAAACATCGATATTAAGACTTTCCAAAGACATAGCCAGCCCTATCTGTTGTCCGACCTGCATAAATGTGCGAACGTTGAAGGCAGCCAGTTTGAATGGTGCACGTGGTTTCAGAAAACTGCTTCAGTCCTCGTATTCGGTGGTAACATACAATTTTCAACCGGACAGTGACTCGAGAACGTTTAGATACAGTCGAATTTCCACCAAAGACGAGCCGCTGTATAAGTATAAAAGAGGGTGAATAATGTGGAAAATAATAATAGAATAATAATAATAATAATAGTAGCATTAATAATGACAATAATAGTAATGATAATAATTTGAATCAATTGACTGTTTTTCGAAACGAGGAAAGTAATTTCCATAGACATAGAGAGTTCATCATTTGTGTTGCCATTATTAAAAGAATGAAGTGTGTAATAGTAACATTTAAAGATTGAATATACAGTTTTATGTACCCATATGTAAGTCACATATTTTGTGTTAGAGATAGATACTACTACCTGACTTGCCATACAAAAGTAAGCGCGACTGGATTTAAACGCTGGACCTATTACTTGAAAGTTAAGGGATCTTGCCACAAAAACTCCGTTTTTGATACGAATAAACTTTGTTGACAAAGAAAGCAATATAGAACTCGTCGTATCTGTTGCTTTGATATGTGATTAGGCCTGCATATCATGACCCAATCCAGATATATTGGCTGAAACGCTAGGTTTTTTCGGGGTATATCTTACCAAGCAAGTTATATAGCAATAAAATTAGAAATTCAGAGAACGAAGTCGTGCTGACTTGTACAAGAGCCTGA